CATAAAACATAAAACCTGAATATACTGTTAGCACTTCTTATTAGAATCTGTTTTATGTTTAAGCAGTGTAACTTCTTAATTTTTTATTTTACATATGAGCATCAAATTATATAAGATTTATTCTTAAAATTCTGTAGGCAGAACAAAATTTTGCACAGTGAAACCCATTCTTCCTCTGAGAGCTATTATAAAACCTAACATGTGAATCTATCTATAAGCTTGCCCCCAAGATCATGGGTTTGAGTTACATTTTTGTATAATGACAATAAAGGCTGAAATATGGTGCCCTTTTACATGATGCTATTTGTTTTTCTTCCTGCCCAGCTGATCTAGCTTCTATGTACCTCTGTCCAGTAACCAGCAAGTACAATATGTTAGCCCTCTTGTTTGATATTTAAGATTCAAATGAATGTTTTAAGTTTTAAATTCAGAGAAGTAATTTCAGGTATGAATTAAGGAATGGAACACATGTTCAACCTACGACTCCATTATAATTGGAGAAACAATGGGAGAGGGGATCTCAACTACAGGAATAACCACATAACAACTGCTATGGTTAATTTCTGGGGATCCCTGGTTCTGTCATCACTTCCCAAGAAGAATCAGAGAAGCCTTACAGTGATGCTCTTTAAGCATGTCTTTCTCCTGGAATTTTTATATAGTCAATTTTCCAACAGCTTCTTCATTCCACAGACATGTTAAAAAGTTTTACACAACAGTTTTAGGATGACTCTGACCATCCCCAGCTAAACTGAATCCTAGGTGAACTGTAAAGCAGATCTCCACACTAACAGAATCTTTGGTATAACTACCAAGCTTTCTTTCTCATTCTCAGCTACACGAAATTAGTTTTACCCTTATATTACAAGTGCATAGTTGTGATTCTTAATCCACTAGTCATTCAAACAATCAGGTTCCCAAAGTGCACAATTAGCAAGGATCTTGAGAATCTGCTCTGGTGGGTAAATAAACATGATCTGTAAAGAATGTCAATTTCTTGTGTACAGAGAAGGAATGTTTCTAAAACTAAGAACAAATGTAAAGTTTACTTTAAAGATTTTTAATCATTACCTCTAATATAACTACCATCAAAATATTTATTTGTATCATTAAAGAAAGGTACTCCAAGTAACAACAACAACAAAAAGTCATTGCATTTATCCCTATAGATGACATTAAAGGAAAGAAATCCTCACCTCAAAGTTTCAAAACTAAAATGAAGTAGATTCAACAAAATCATACTAAACAGCACTAAACAGTGATACACCACTATGCCAAGTTAAAGCACATAGTGATGACAATCTGCTGTTTACAGCAGGAGGAAAACAACCTTCACAGCAGATTAAATATTATAAATATTTAATGCAACTAGAATGTAATTGCATAAATCATTAACATGAAGAAATTGTGTTGTCAAATTAATATTTATTTCTCCTTCAGTGCATCATTTAAAAATTCCTAAAGTAATGAAAAGTAGATTAGTGCTTCTCATGGGTCATAGGGGAAGAGAAATAGGAAGCGACCACACAAAGGAAGAAGGTTGCCTTTTGGAGTGATGGAAATTTTCTAAAACTGTGAGCATACTAAAACCACTGAGTTATACACATTAAAAGATTTTGTTATAGCATGTGAGTTATAGCACAATAAAGTTATTGTAAAAGGCAAGTAATACTAGCATATTAATTATCTTAAGAACTCATAAAAACAAAATGCAGAAGAGGATATATGCTGAATGTATTTAAATCTTCTACCTATAAACTGTTTTATCACTTGAAGCATTACTACTAAATAAACATAAGCTTTTAACAACTGTCCAAAACACAAAAATGACACTAAGTAATCGAATATTTTAACATCTTGATGGATCCATTTGAAAAAGGGGAAGGTGTAGTTGAATTTGAGGGGGCCGCATAATATAAAGACACCTGTTTTCCTGGGAATTAACATTGTAAATACAGACAACAATAAATAATTTCACACATCAAGTAGATGTTTAATAAAGCAAATCTATTCAAGTTTCTTCTTTCATCAAGATAACAGTCTCTAGAGATAAATGACTATAGCTCATCTCAAGATCAAAAGGGAATGACTTTTGCAGCAAAATATGCTTACCAGCTAAGCTATTTCACTAGCTCAGTTACTAATGACACAAAAGCACTCTTACATGAAGCAGCAGAAAAAAAAAAAGTGCATACCAAGAAAGTATTCTTAAAAGAGCTGTCAAAGTTATAAATTGGTTTGCAGCTTTTATTCTTTTATTTAGATTACAGAGTTTAATGTATGCACAGGGGTAATAATTTTGAATTGTACTGACAAACAACAAAATGTATTTTTCCTTAACTGTACATACTTCCTAATTAAATTCAAATCCAGCCAAACTAAAGCTTTCCTTTCCTTCTTACTATTACTCTACAATATGAGTATGGTTCCAACTGGGACATCAAGAAACAACAAACTCTGTAAGGCCAGCATCTTTTGCTCTCATATAAACTGGCTCAGTTTTATGTTAATATTATTTCTCAAAGGCTACAAACTTTTTTATTTAAATTATAACTACATTAGTTACTACCAATGTTTATGCATTAAAACGTGAGAACATTTCCATCACTCCAAAAGGCAACCCTCTTCCCTTGTGTGGTCGCTTCCCTATCAAATACGTCATCATTACAAAAGGATCATGATGCACTTTTCAATTCAAGTGCAGATAGAAGCTACTTTTGAATGCACAACTTGTAGGTGGTGCTTGGTACAGCAGTCAAAACACCACTTGGGATAGCTGCATCCAAATCAAGAGTCCCCGGGGTATTGAGTCTTCGCTCCCCTTGTGAACACTGCTTCCTGCTTATGCATACCCTGGGAAACAGAGGTGGTGGCTCAAGCACCTGGATCCCTGTAACCCATGTGGAAGATTCAGATTGAGTTCCAGCTCTTGGCTTCACCTCTGGCTCCAACCCTGTTACTGTGATCATTTGAGAAGCAAACCACCAAGTGGAAGAACATTCTCTAACTTTCTCTCTCGCCCTCTTTCTCTCCCTCCATCCCTCGGTGTTTGCCTCTCAAATAAATAAAACCTTTTTGAAAAGCAAATACAACTTAAAATTACATAAAAGGTTGTATAAAAACTATGCAAAATGTTAAAATCTGACGTCTTGGGATTGGATTATATAAAAATGAGTAGAAAATATATGAATTCTACATTGAGGGATAGTTCCACATTTTAAGATTTACAACAAATATTCTTGTGATACATCAAAAAAATTCCTAATTGTAAAAAGACAGGAAAATCCACACATTTATAACCAAACATCAAGCATTCTTCTAGGCACTCAATAAACGTATTTGTTCTAGGTCCTGAGACTTTAAAACATTTTACTGTGCTTTATCCTGAGGCTGTAGAATATGATCAACTATGAGTTATTCATCAGTTATAACCTTAAATATTAATATTCACGTAGGCTTACATCTAAATTTTTAATAAAATAAAATCATTTCAATCTTTTGAAATCTGTCGGCAGCTTGACTAAAAACTAGTCAAGAAAATGATAACCACAATTTATTTTTCATAATAAAGCATTGGGTAGGTGACAAATCATGAGGCTTTCAAACCGAAATCCCTAACAATGCCAGAAAAAATGTGTGGCAGATCTTCTTTCCATGTAAATTGATTATGGAAAATAAGCTAGAATTTGTGGCCCTCAGAACAAAGATGATCTGGGGAAGAAAAGTAATTCTAGCTGCCTTACATCATTATTGTGTTCTAATATTTCTCTTCACTGGGAAGCAACTGGTCTAGAATGAGTGAATTAATAATGTATCTGTGCAGTAGGTAGACTAGCTGAGGGGATAAAAGGCAGAATAGGAACAGATCTCAACAGCAAGGAATCCTGATCATTGCAGGACTCCCCAAAGTCATATGAATGTTTGAACCCCAAAGTCTCACGTTAATTGTTAATGGATTAATGCTGATAGTTGGTGGATTATGGTGGAGGCATAATTCCATTGTAGCATCTGAAAATAGGGTTTTGTTTGGATTGGATTAGATTCTTAGAGGTGGCACACTGTAACTTAAGCATGAAGGCATTATGAAGGGAGACCCGCCTGCTATGATTATTTCTCCAGATCCGCCTCATTATTGCCAGCTTCTGTCAGATGCCAGAGTAACAGAGCTATCAAACCTTGGACCGTGAGCCTCCAACTGAAGGCATTCCCAAGAAGCTACTCACATATTTTACAGCAACAAAAAACTGGCTAATACATTCTGCCATAGCAAAGTAACACAGACTGGGTGATCTGAACAAGGGCAATTCTTTTTTTTTTAAGCTTTGGAGGCTATAAGCTCTAGCTCAACATCAGCAGGACTGGTTTCTACTAAGGTCCTCTCTCCTTAACTTGAGGATGGCCACCTTGTTGCTCAGTCCTCACGATGTCTTTACTTTTGATGATACATGCCTGTGCCTCTTCTGAAAAGTCCAGCTGTCATGGAGTAGAGGTCAACCTTGCAGTTTCATAATCATCTTAACTTCTAAATATACCCATACAATTCCTTTCTCAAATACCAGGATTTGGGCTTCAAAACACTTCAGGTCAACATACTCTCAAGTCTGAAATGCCATAGCAAAGAATCATAAAAATTATAAGCATCAAAAAACTCATATTAAGTTAAAGATGTGAATATGGCAAGCTTACTTGATATAGAGGCAGAAGCAGTCCTAACAGATCTGAGACAGGCTTCAGATACAAATTACTTGGTAAGCAAGGAAAAAAACATCACTCGAATAATGTAAGATTATGATTCATTCATCAGATGATTCATTCGTTATCATTTTTAGCATGTCCATATTTATCAAATCAAACATTACACTGTGAGCTAAAATTAAATCACAGAGTAAAAATATATAAACATTAGGACTCCTATTTTATTTTCAAGATTTGCTATACAAATATTTTTTTTTAAACCTTAAAATTATGAGTATGTTGGACAAACTGTCAGTAATACTCACGCATCATTTGAGCAAGTCATAAATTCTCCCTTTATTTTAGGATGCCATGAGCCAGTATGAAGCATTGCTGTGTGACCCTTAAAAAGATAAAACAAAAGATGTTTTTAAAAGGTATGATAAAAAACTGACTAGAAAGTGACATACGTTTAAAACTACACTCTTCTAAAACACACAGCGTTTTAGTTACACAGCACAGTCACTTGATTCCAAATGTATTTGATAATACACCTTACTTGTTTTAATTCACTTGAATACCAGTTCATAGAAATTAACACGGTGCTTATACAAAACAGGTGCTTAATAAGTTGGAAACTGAGTAAAATGTGATATGCACTCCTTAAGAAAAACACAAATTAAAAAAAAAATTTATTATGAAACACAATCCTTTCTTTAAAGATCCTGACTCTCCCTCAATGAAAAGCAAGATGAATAGAAAGTACTTAGAAATAGCCAAGGTGAAGGCTAGAGTTTGGGGTAGAGGTGGAAGTGGGGAGAAACAAAGATTAGGGAACAGGGAGTTGTAATATCTAACACTGTGCAAACAATCTTCAATCAAGAATGCATCTGTAAGAATAAACATGTGGGCACAGCACGATATCCTAGCGGCTAAATTCTCACTCCGCATGAGCCGGGATCCCATATGGATGCCAATTCATGTCCCAGCCTGCTCCACTTCCATCCAGCAACTTGCTTGTGGCCCAGGAAAGCAGTAGAGGATGACCTGAGAAAGCATAAAAGGATGGCCCAAACCCTTGGGACCCTGCACCCCCATGGAAGACCCAGAAGAAGCTCCAGGCTCCTGGCTTTGGATTGGGGCCACTCCAGTCACTGTGGCCTTTGGGATTGAACCAGCAGATGGAAGATCTCTCTTGATCTCCGTCTTGCCATGTATCTACCTTTCTAATTAAAAAACAAGAATTAAAAAAAAAAAAAAAGAATCTCTTAGAAGCATAGATGATAGACAAAAAGAAGGCTATGTAAAGATGGAGGCAGAGATGGAAATGACACCATCATAAATCAAGAAACACTTAACGCACCAGTAGCTCAAGAGGCAAGATCCTCCTACTGGAGGGAGCACAATCCTGTCAACACCTCAACTTTCCACTTCCGGCCTCCAGAAAAATGAAAGAATACATTTCTGTTGTCTTAAGCCATGAGGTTGGGTTAATTAATTAATATACTCTTTGTCTAAGATCAAAAGGACCATTAAAAACACTGAATTCTGGTTAATACATTTGTTTCTTTTTTTGCTGTGGTATGCATTGCCAATCATGAAACTGCTTTCAATATAATGAAGAATTCAGCCAATGAGGAAATATGTTAAGATAATGGGAGTCAAGTTTCTCACTGTCAGAGGAAAGTTACAAAACTAGAAAAGAAAAAGAGAAATGAACTCTGGTGTTTGAAATTAGAAATATCAATGTGAACTTGTGATTGTTTTTAAGAAGTTTGCTTTTGGGGCCCGGCACGGTGGCACAAGTGGTTAAGGTCCTCCCCTTGCATGCCCAGGATCCCATATGGGCGCCGGTTCTAATCCCGGCAGCCCCGCTTCCCTTCCAGCTCCCTGCCTGTGGCCTGGGAAAGCAGTCAAGGACGGCCCAAAGCTTTGGGACCCTGCACCCACGTGGGAGACCCGGAAGAGGCTCCTGGCTTTGGATCGGCATAGTATCGGCCCGTTGCGCTCACTTGGGGAGTGAATCATTGGATGGAAGATCTTCCTCTCTGTCTCTCCTCTCTGTATATCTGCCTTTCCAATAAAAAAATAATAAAAATAAATCTCTTAAAAAAAACAAGTTTGCTTTTGTATTCATATGCAATATTTATTCACATTTAGGGAGGCAGAGTGCTAGATTTTAATATCGGTATACATTGCTTAACAACCAGATGAGGGTACTTGGCAAAACTGGAACCTCAAGCATCTATCATTTCCTTGTATTAACAACATACAAAATCACTTCTACCAGTTATTTTGAAATATACAATGAATGGTTGAACATTAGAAGTTATTCCACCAGGGGATCCAACCACAAAGAGTGGGACCCAGCTTTAGGGACAAAGAGGTACTATGTCCCTGCACTCATTACCCATCTCCCTCTCCAACACCCTTCCTCACCTCTGGTAGCTACTACTTTACTATTGACTTCTATGAGATCGGCTTTTTTAAATTCCACATATAGGGGAAAACATGTGGTATTTGTCTTTCTGTGCCTTTTTTATTTCATTTAACATAATATCCTCCAGCCTATCCAAGTTGATGCAAACAATAGAAATCCATTTTTATTATTGTGAAATAATATTCCATTATCCAAACACTGCACACTTTTCCTTTATTCATTTTTCTGCTGATGGACATTACGGTTGATTCTGTATCTTGGTTATTGTGATAGTGCTACACTAAACTCAGAAGTGCGTGAAAGCTTTTCAGTACATTGATTTCCTTTCCTTTGGTTATACACCCAGTAGTAGTACTAATAGATCACAGGCTAATCCTGTTTCCAGTTCATGAAGGTAACAATATGGAAAATATACTAGTATTATCCACTTTCCTGTAACCCTTGAACCTTCTTACCCTAATTAACTATATAAAGAATGTCAAAATAAAATTTTATAAAAATGTAAAAAAAAAAAAGAAAAGTAACTAGTGCAATCATTTTATCAATAAAGAAACTTAATCACCTCCAAAAAAAAAAACCTCCATACTATTTTCCACAATGGCCACGTTAAGTTACATTTAAATCATTTTAGAACTCATGAATTTTATTGGATAGATATAAAACAGGTATTTGTGTATGAATATATAAATATATATTTATATAAATATAAATATATATATAATTTTCTCACATGCTGAGAATGTCTATAAACAGTACATTCATGCAAAAGAAGCATAGAAATTCTACTTCCCTATTATCCCTCCTAACTAAAATTTCCTTGAGGAAATTTCCAGATAGGGTAGGAAAAAAATCAAGATAAATGTGCAACATTTTATTGCGCTAAAAAATAAAAAAGCACTATGAAAATTATTGGTACATGTTAAAAGGATAAAGCCAAGGAAGAAGGAACTTCTGCTGGCTAAATATGGAATAAGAGGCTATCAAAATAGTGCTACTATTGGCTAGAATTAGGACCTTGAAAGCAAACTACTACCATACAGAATATGAACCAACCGATGGAAATCCCTCTCTCTCTCTCTCTCTCTCTGCTTTTCAAATAAATCTGAAAATTTTTTTAAAAATTAAATCTAAGATTTTCTTTTAAATGTACTACCTGTGAGCAAGGGGACAACATAATTACACATATTCTTTTCTAGCCATGAAAAACACAAATCCCTTGTGTTAGAGAATTCCCTCAAAAAACTGAGCCTTACGGAAGACAGAGACTGTCTTCAGATACAACACTGTCATGTAATCTAGCTTTAGCCATCAGTTTACATGAGCTGTGTGCAGCAATACTGCAACTCCTGCTGCTTGAAAGTGGCAGCAATCTTGACCATGGCATTCAATTGTGGCCATCACAATATCATCAGCAAACCAGCCCCACACCATGGTTAGAACTGTTCCTGCAAAGCCACCTTGTGTATAGCTCCCAGCCCTTCCAGTACTCTTATTACCTACAGATCAAACAGACTCCAAATTTGCGACATGCACCTGATTATGAGTACCAAAATTCTGCTTCCAACCACAGAATGAGTCAAAATTTTCAAAAGTTTTGGAAACTTTCACTTGTTCTCAAGATGCAATCCACACACTCCACCCTATTCCTCCAACTGATTTCAACAAAAAAACTCAGAACAGAATATATAAGCAACTACCAGAGCATTCTTGAATGGTGGATGGAAGAGGTAGAAAATAATGAGAAAAAGGCCTTAGATCGTCCAAGTAAAACTGAATATATCTGGGACCAGTGTGGTAGCCTAGTGGCTAACTCCTCATATAGCATCCGGTGGGATCCCAAATGGGTGTGGGTTAGTATCCCAGCTGCTCAACTTCCCAGCCAACTCTTGGGAAGGCACCCAAGGACTGACCTAAGCCTTGGGACCCTGCATCCACACAGGAGACTTGGAAAAAGCTTCTGGATTGAGATCAGCTCAACTCCAACCGTTGCGGCCACTTGGGGGAAGGACCAGTAGATGAAAGATCTTTCTCTTTCTTTCTTTCTCTCTCTTTCTTTCTCTCTCTCTCTCTCTCTCGCCTACTCTGTTAGTCTGACTTCCCAATAAAAATAAATTTACATATAAAAATGTGTGTATATATGAACATTTATATATGAACACACACACACAAAGATATAATTGGTATTCACGTGCTCTTTCAACAATGGAAAACACAAGTAACAAAAAAACCAACAAAGATAAAGAAAGCATGTATAACTCTACTGAGCAACTAAACTTGCAAATACATTTCATTTAGCAATTGCACAAAATGCATTCTTTATTAGTAGAAGCAGAATACTAACAAGATAGGTCATATTCTTGGTTTTTTTTTTTTTAAGATTCATTTATTTTTATTGGAAAGTCAGATTTACAGAGAAAAGGAGAGACAGAGAGAAACATCTTCCATCCACTACTTCACTAGTCAAGTGGCCACAAAAGCCAGAACTGAAACAATCCAAAAGCCAGGAGCCTGAAGCCTCCTCCAGGTCTCCCACACAAATACTGGGTCTCAAGGCTTTGGGCCTTCCTCCACTGCTTTCCCAGACCACAAGCAGGGAGTTGGGTGGGAAGTGGAACTAGCACCAGGTCTCCTGGCCTGAGTTCTTGGACCAACCCATGAGGTAGGTGCTGCATATGTGAGCACTGAGGGCAGGAGATCCGGCAGGGCTCAGGTCGCCTGCTCTGGGTCCTGGAGCCTGCCTACAAGTGAAAAAGACAGAGCCGTGGGTACAGACTCTGATCCACTGACCTGATGGAGAATATGATAGCTCACTGGCTACCATAGCAGAGGAAGGAGAACTAAACAGATTAGATAACTACCCTAACCAAACAATAACAGCAAAGATCTGGGTGAATGGTGACTTAAGGTCGAATATGGCAGCTAATAGACATTAGGAGCCTTGCCTCATCCTTGGATCAGCAAAT